TGCTTGTTCTTGAATTAAAAAGGTAAAATATGATGAGACCTACTATAGAAACAAGGCTGTATTGGAGAGATATATTAAATATTATTTATTGCAACATTTTAATTGGTCAAATGAGCTTGTTGAAAATGTGGGGGTTGCAAAGTTCAGCCCATTCTCCCGTTTCTTCCTCAAATAATGAAGCTGATTATTTTTATGGTCATATTTCTGTAAATATACTGAGTGGATTAAAATTAAACATGTCAGATCACCCAGTGACATGTCTCTTTAGAATATCAGACAAAGTAAAATATTTTGTCACACTGACATTGATTTGCCAGACTTCTATAGATATTTTCTGACTTTATAATTAATTCTTCTCCTCAGCTGGTGCTGACAAGAAAGCAGAGGCCGGTGCTGGAGCTGCCACAGAGTTCCAGTTTGTAAGTACTTTCAGTTTGTTTAGCTCTTCTGGCAAATATGGATATTTGTCTAGAGAAAATATGCTGCAATGTTTATCTCCCATCATTGTAAGTTTTCAGCTTTGTGTCATGTTGAAATGTGAAGTGTGCATGGTCCTGGTGTGAGACTAGATGTGGAGCTTTGATTTGACCTTTGAACTTGTTGTCGTTACAGAGGGGCGGCTTCGGACGCGGCAGAGGACAGCAGCCTCAGTAAATTTCACTGTTCATTACAAATAAAGAAAATCTTAAATACACATTATGGTTTTGCATTATTTGTGTTTGTATGTTTTTTCTAAACACAAGAGATAACTGTGATTGAATAAAGTGACTTAAGTATATCCTGATGCATGCTCAATAATTCAGGTAGAAAAATCCAAAAAAAGTTAAATCTGGTCCTCTGGACATTCAAAAAAAAAAAAAAAAATGTAGAAACGTTTAGTCTCACCTGAGAGACTAGCTCAGTCTCTTAAAGTGGTGAGTGTATCCCTCTCTACTGATGTTGGAAGGTGGTGGTTTGGCATTGCTGAAGCAGGATGAAACTTTGATTTTGAGCTGTTCTGCTTCACCCTCTTTCATTTTGTTGCAAATGGCTGATTCCTAAAGTGACTAGGTTTTTCTAGATTCCTGAAGCTGCTAAGTTGATTCTGAATCTGCTTTCCATACTTTTTTCTTTGACATATTGCATGGAGGAGTCTTGTTCTTTCTGCAGGAAGCACTTAATGAAATTACTCAAATTATTTCAAACAGATTTTTAGTGAAAGGTAATTTTATTTTTTAATATTCAACTTCATTTTATCCATGGCCACTCTTGGTGCCTTGAAAATTCAGATTCATATTCTTCATTAAAACTGCTCTTGCAGCTGATCGATGGTTTCTATTTAGCACAGCTACTCTGTGCTGCTCTGATTGATTTATTATACCCGTTAATTAATTTGGCTACAAAATTCTAAATACGGGAAATGTATCTTATAAATCTTTCCTGCTGTTTTACTGTCATTATGAAAGTGAAAACTTAAAACTAGAACACCATTTCTGCTCTTTGACATGTCTTTCATTTAATACAGCTCAATAAATTACTTCATGTTTCTGAAGCTGGTTTGTTTGGGAGAGGTCTAAATGCTTTCAAATCATTGAGAAATTCTAAAACCATCATGTCAGCTGCTCTAAGAACATGATTCATTAATAAAAACTATAAACTCAAGTATCCTGGTCTCCAACTACAACCTATGCATTGTGTGAATGTTTCTGAAGCGTTCACACTGGTGATCCTTTTTTCTATAGGTTTTTCTGCATATTTCTTGTTCCATAATTTTTGCTATTTCAACAAATGTTCAGGAGAAGGTGCTATGACTTTGTAATGGCACAACTTTAGCTTTTTGGAATATTTAGCCTTTTCTGCCATTTTTTTCCTCAGGAAATTGATTTCATTTTACATCTGTCAAATCTTTAGCTCTGTTTCCAACCTTTTACTGCTCCTTTCACATTTTGTTCTGGTTCAGCTTCCATGTGCAAATTTAAACTTTTTTCAGCTACTTTCAGTTCTGTGCTGATTCTTTACAAATTTTTTGTCTTTTCTAACTTTTTTCTTGCCAATTTCAGCTTGTTGTGCTTCTTTCCACTTATTTCAAGTATTTAACAGCTTTTATGCTAATTAGCTTTTATAGCTCATTACACTTTTTTTGCACTTGTGCTCAACTTCAGGTAATTTAAGCTTTCTGCTTTTTAGCTACTTTTCAGCTTTTTTTTTCTTCAAATTTCTGTTTTTCAGATAATTTTCACTTTGTGTTCATGTCTCCAGCATAATTGGGCAAACGTGTTTTCTGCTAATTTAAGCTTTTCAGCCTTTTTTAAGCAGATCTGTTTATACAGAAATTCTAAATTTTCATGTTAATTTCTACTTCCAGCCTAACTTCTTTATGCTGATTTCAGCTTTTTTCTGTTCTCAGCTGTTTAGCTATTTTGATGCTAATTTTAGCCTTTTCAGCTAATTCCACATTTAGCTCATTTCAGTTCTTTCTGCTTCCTTCTGATAGTTTAAGCTTCTTTCTACCTTTTCAGCTTATTTTGCCATGTTCCCAAATTTTGTTCTCATTTCTGTTTAAACCTAATTCAGCAAATGTGTTTTTTAGGCTTATTCTTCCATTTTAGCTACATTTCAGAATGTTTAGCTATTTTCAGCAAGTTCTGCAATAAGAATTCATGTTGCATTTTCTCAGACAATGCAATTTATACTTAAAGTTTAATAAGTAAACATTAAATCAGTGATTTGGTGGGAGTGTGAACACAATGACAGCTGTCAAAATGTGAAATACTGGTGTTTATTTGTTGGCACATTTATATTACAATCTTCAGTCTTCTCACTGGTTTCATTCCACAGTCCCAAATAACAGAGGACAACATTCCAGTGACAAAAAAACAACAAAAACTTTCTGATAACACATTTACAAGTCTGTAACTTCAAGGCTGAGGTGAACAGCTAGAAGTGCACATGTTTGCATGTCAGTTGCAAGTATCTTAGTGGAAGTCTCAAATTATGCATTTCTTTGCAGTGAATCGTCTGATAAAGGAAACTTGATCCTCCAGTGCTGGGTGATGCACTTGTAATACTACAGCTTGGGCCACAAGAGGGGACTGGTTGACGTGGCAGACAAGCCATTTGTGTAAAAGAAATGATTTTAAACTATCCTTCATGTTTTTACTTCAGTCATAAAAAAATAAAATGCCACAGATCACTCAAGTGCCATCTTTACGCCACAATAAATCCACTGTGAAAGTTATTTGGGAAAATTTCAGTCTTCCAAGATTTAATTGCTTTTTAAAACCAGGAACTGCTTGAATGTTTAGTTTTATGGGTGCTTTTTAAGTTATACACAAGACACAAACTTGTCAAAAACAACTAAAAAACAAAAACATTGGTTGGAGACGAGAGCTCAATAATTGTATCACTGGCCGTTATTTGTAAAAATACATTAATTTTGATGGTACCTTTGGCTTAAATCAACAAGGTTGGTTCATTTTCTTTCCAATTATGCTGGGCTACCGTAATTTTTATTTTTAACATGCTCGGTGCTTAAATTGCCCAATTTCTATCAAGACCGAAAGGTTGAAGCAACAAAATCTGGTGCCAAGTTGGACATCATATCATAAAGAAAAACTTTGGCCACCACACCTTTTGAAATGTGCAGCAGTAGAATTAGTTCAAAGTCTCAGGCGGGAGGAGACTTTCGACCCGTTTTTGCTCTTACTGGCAATGAGGAGCTGCTCAGTCATCACCTGTCCACACTGAGTTTATCTGAAGCTGTTATTCACTGAGGCAGTGAGGGGCCACCAGAAAACAAACAGGAAAATCAATTCTAGTCACTCGTAGAAAAACCTTTTTTCAAAAGGATTCAGTTCTTTTTTTACTGTGAGGGGTTTCTCGTAGATATAATACTAGTTTTCTGTGTATTTTTGGTTCAACGTGCCCTCTTTTGCTGTATTTAATTCTGCAGATCTTCACTGGGTTTAAAGCTACATTTTATTTTGCAAACTTTACAAAACCTAACAGTCATGGTTGTACTGAAACTGCATTGAACTACCATAATTTAATTGAACTTTTTATACCTCATGGAATAACTAAAATTAAAACAAAGTAATTAAATTTTTACCATCTAAAGTAGTAAAAACATTTTCTCTGATGTGGTTCTAATCAGCAAATCATATTTCCTATGACTACTATCCAAATAGGCATCTCTTCTCGATTTTATGGATGTATTATTTTTAAATCAGTTTTGATCTTTAGAGGATTTCTTTCTTCCTGTAACTTTGTTTTGAGGGGGTGCAGCGACAAAGGTAGACAGACCATTCAACCAGCTGGTGATCACAGTGAAAAACATGAAAGTAGCCCAAAAAACAAACAAACAAACCTGAAAAGGTGCCAACAGCTCAGATGAGCTTTAGTAATGCATGTATTTGTAATATTTGTATTATTACATGTATTATATCTATATCTATATATATATATAGATATAGATATATGTATTATAGTCTACAAGGTGTTTTTTTTTTTCAAATGACCATGCGTACTCAGAAAATCTCAACATTTAGCCTCATCGGTTTAAAAAAAAAAAATGAGGGGAAAATGTGAAATGTGTTAGTTTTAAGTATGGACAGAAAACCACAGTAATATTAATGTGCTTGCAGTGAAACTAATGAGAAACCCCTTCACAGGAAAATACACTGATTAAATAATAAACACTACAGACTTGCAAGTAGCGATTTGAAAACTTTTGACTGAAATTTTACAGTTTGACCAAACGGGTTACAAAATTTGACCTGGCCTAAGAAAGGGGAAATACTTCATGAATAGTCTTTAAATACACTCTTTAATCTCACCCACAGCCTCATTCCTTGTTCTTTAGCCTCAGATCGACTGTACGCTTTCTCAAGAGAAAATTCTCCAACAGCTCCGACGCCAACAAAAGAAGCCAAATCCGTTTTCCAGCCTCGGCTGAAACGACACTTAGCACTCAGAGATGCGTAAAGAGGTGTTTTGTCGTTTGTACTTTCACCTTTGATCTATACAGAAATAAACAATTTACAATAAAAACCTCTTACATGCTATCTACAGCGCCTCCAGTTTCACAGTATTGAGCCAGCTGCCTTACGACGAGGCCAGGTGACGCAGCTCAGCTAAAGAGACTTGCAAACGTTAAAAAAAAAAAAAAAAACGAACAAGAAGAAACAAAATATTAGTATCCAAAAGCATTTTACAAGTTAAAAACAAGGTTTCAAACTGTACAAGGCTTGTTTTGTTCTGCATCATGCCAAAGACAGCATTATAGATCCATTACTTTCAATGTCAAGTTTGAGTTCTGAGTGTTTTGGGGATGCAGATTAAATACTAAAGGAAAGGATTAAAAAATAATAATCATCATCATCATCATCATGAACACAATGAAAAGTGCCCGCTATAGTCATCTGTGCTATGTTACAAACAAAATGAAAATAAGAGACACTGCTGAAACTAACAGACACTGAAAACCTACTTAAGGGCAGTACTATTGTGTTTAAAAACACAAACTACAGTAAAGGGGAACATGGAGAACAGCTGAAGACCTTGCCACAAGTTGGTTGCACAATCTGCATAACGTCACCCAAATGAGCGAGACTCGATTACAGTGCTCATGCAAGACACGTTCCACAATTCTGTTCATTCAGGTACAGACAATATTTCCTATCCATACAACAGGGGAGGGAGTACAATAACGGGCACATTTAATTCCAGGAAAAAAAAAATTAAAATAATGGCGAAGACATTTAAAAAGACCACCAAAAGCCTTCAGCTTAAGCACTACGTGTACACTTTTACATTACAACAGTAAAAAGTAGTTCTTGCATTCAATAATCACCACGCTAAGGGTGCATAAAGAACTGGAAATGAGGGGACACTTCATGCAATTCATCAGTATAAAGGGGAAAAAAAAGGGTTCAAAAATTACATTTACAAATATTTCAGACTATTCACCCGACACTTCTCATCAAGTTTGTGCCTCAGTTCTGGCACCAAGGAGTTGGCAAGGCAAATCCATGTTATTGAGGAAAGAAGAAAAACAAAGGGAGATAAAAGGGAGAGGAGAAAGACAGAAGGGACAAGTAAGAGCGCAAGTGGTGGCAAAAGCTCCAGGGGAAGTCAGAGTTGCGGTTTTAGTTATCTGATACCCGAGACGGAGCTCTGATTGATGCTGTAGGTAGGGGAGAGGTCCCCACCTATTGTGGTCACCAGTGGCGTTCCATTACTGGTCAGGCAACTCCCCTGGAGAGCCTCGAAGTAGGTGGCCTGCACAGGCTTGTGACACTGCAACACTTGTATGGCATCGACTATTTTAAACCATTCCCTTTTTCTCCCTGTTGACAAAACAAAACAACCACTGTAGAGACGGTTCACTCACAACACAATGAGAAAAAGCAAAGTGAAAACTGGGTCTGGATTAGTAATCAGAGAAAATCACAAGGGCCAGAATGAAAAGTCTTGAAATGTTAAAAAAAAAAAAAAAAAAAAAAAAAAAAAAAAAAAAAAAAAAAAAAACTAAAGCCACAGTTTAAGCATGTGACTGTCTGGGAACTGTGCATGATCTCCTCTGTCAAGTAAACAAATAGTTCTTTACCAATGTTGACCGAGTCCTCCCAGTCTTCCAGCACCTCCGTTACAATAAGAACATAGACGTAGGTTCTGTGTTTTCTCTCCTTGTTCTGTGGAAAGCAAAGAAATAATTATTGCAGCGCTTTATTTCTCAATCACAACCGCACAAAAGGTGTGTCGACAAAACAATCCACAGCAAGTAAACAGCAGCTTACCTCAAATATTCCAACTAGGCGACCTAAAGTCCCCTTCACGCCGGCCTGCAGAACAAATAGAGATTAGAAAATGTTGCCACAATACTACAAGGACAATTACAAACTCCATTTAAAGGATAAAAACACAAAGAAGCTGTGTATATAAGGTGCTGATGTAATTTGTGTGGCAATTTTGAAACTAGCCTGTGTTTTTGCTGCAGTGGTCTACATTGAATCAAAAAATCCATTTTTCTTTTCAAGGGTTCCTCTGTCCTCCAAGTAACACACAAGGATTTATTATTATTATTATGATAATTTGTTCTTAGCTAATACTGACACAGATGTCCTTTAAATGACTTTCTGGATGTCTGAATTTAAACTTAAATTATCGATTTGTCATTTTTATTAAATAAATTAAGCATAGATTAGATAAAATAAAACCAGTGCAACACAAGTTAGAGACATTTCTTTTTTTTCAAGAAACAGTCTAAACTACAAATATATACTGTATTTTCAAATTAGGCAAAAAAAAAAAAAAATCAGAGGAAAATTTTTAAATTGAAGATTTTTTTTGTTGTGATTTTTGTTTTAAATGAAACTTTGCCAATTAACAAATTACTGAAATAGCAGATATTTCTGTGGGTGTTGAAGTTGTGGATTTTACAGCAGCAATACACAAAAAGTCACTGCTCAGCTGTTGCCGTCACCCAAACAGCTCCTCACACAAAATCCCTCAAGAGTCAAGCAGGCTTATGTTAAAAGGTCAGAAACAACAGAATAAACCTCTCTGTCACTTTACTCCTAATCCTAAACAATAAAAACTGAGCAAATATTACATTCTTTCCTCTGGAGGGGACACCTTGAACACTGTTCAGGGCATTTTACTTTTAAATATACTTTAATGCCAAAAAACCCTATCCCCTGGACCTTTACTCCCAGGTGAATAGATCCTGAGGTTTAAATACAGAGCAACGTCATTGCTGACATGTTTGGAGCAGCTTCTTCAGGTTACAGTTTCAGCCTATAAATAAATGTTGAGTCCTCACATGGCACCATGGACTTGGTCTAGCACCCTTCAAGTCTTCTGACAGATCACATGAAAAACAAGAGGCTCCCCACTACAAGCTCCTAACTATGCCAGGGATTGAGTAATAGGCCAAAAGTCAGTCTATATGTTTTTATGACATGGAAAACATGTCATGGCCACAATGTACGGTAATTGAAAATGAAAGGGCATCATCCTGGAAGAGAATGGACAGCGCTGAAGCTGCATTAGTTATGCAATACTGTCCTGTGCCTTCAAACTGCAGGGTGGGGTGTATCACTGACACTAGAATAAGGTCGGGCAGCGGGTAAATTGACAGAGATGCTGTTTAACATCTGGCCAGCTCCTGAGAGCTGAATTTTCATGCACCCCCCCCCCCCCCCCCCCAAGGACTCTAAACCAATAAAGCATAAGCAATGGCTCACCACTCTTATGGTAATCAGAATAAGCTTGCCAGGATTAGAATATGTCCTGTTACACCATCGTCCAATAAGAGGCTTAGAAAGCCAGAGAATGTGGTGATGTATTGAGTGTCACTCAAAATCCCCATTGCATTTCTGAATGCAGCCTTTTAGCACTTTAGCGAACCTCTGTACTACATGACACTACTTTTGACCTCGTGGAAATGTGCTGGCAGGCTGCAGTGTCTTGCACCCACCAAAGGAGGCAGGATAAGAGATTTTATCAATATCTGTACATCACACACAGCGATAGGCTTTACTTAGAGGCCTGTTGTGAAAAAAGTGCAGGGTGAAATTTACAACATGCAGTATTCCTGTGTCCATTCTGATCAAAATATCCCAATAGATTAATAGAATACATACTAAAGGAACACCTAATCTGAAATAATTCTCCAATGTGTGGGTGGCATTAGCAGGATATCAGTGTGATTTTGATTCTTAGCGAGTTTCACTTATTTTCACCAATCTAGCTCAACATACAAACAAAAATTAAACATTTTGTCCCTTTAGGTACAGATGTTACAAAAAAGGTACTTTTGTAAAACAAAATCTGTTAAACTTATACAAAAAAAAAAAGGTAAATTGTTCTAGTTTTTAAGTATATTTTATACATAAATTGTAGTCTGGTAGTGCAACAAGTGAGCAGCTATTCAGACTCATTTACCCATTTGACATCTGATACAGCCTACATGTTGCCAGGCTTCCTCTTTCTGCCCATGCAAACAAGATGACTGTATTGACAAAAAGGATCCTGAGAGCAAAGTATTAGTCCCCGTGTTGAATGCAGATGTAATTACTGGAAATGTAACACAATACTCTTGTATTTGCTGCAATGCAAATGGAAATAAATTCAGCATCACATTTGGTCTAAAGAAAGGCATGTTTTACAACAGTTTATTTTATTTTTTTTATTTAAGAATGGGTAAATCAAAGTCTGGCAGTTAAGCCTGCATAGGGATCACTAATGACCTCATTTGTTTGTTAGAATAATATTAATAATAGGCAAAAAAAATACCAGAACCAACCTCTTCACACACTTCTCGAGCAGCAGCAACATTGGGCTCCTCTTCAGGCTCCATTCCCCCTCCAGGGACTATCCACTTGTCAGGATGTCGACTACTGCTCACCAACAGCACCTGTAATGCATCACATGTAGGACTGTTCGGTTAGACATTACCTGAACAGTGTTTCTTATTTCTCATCCTCAAGCACATAAAAAACATTTTACAAAACAGGTCAACCGCCACACTGACAAAGAAAAAAAGAACTCTAATCTAACCTTTTATAAGTAAAGCCAAACATCAGTATTAATGATAAGCTTTGCAACAGGTGATGCTGGGCTGGAAGCAGATTAGGTAAAACTACATCCCTGAACATTTCTCTCTGTGTGCTGTTGATGCTGATGTATTTCCTCTTACTCCTTCCTAATTATTATTATTAATATTAATGATAATAATAATAATAAAAAATTATAATATTATGAACAGGATGGGAAACGGAGTTAATTGAACTTTTCCGACTCACTTAAAACTCTAGTTATAAATACACCTTTAAGCTTGTTTGTACATGAACAGCACATCCGTTTCTCAAAGAGCGGAGGAGTTTTAATCAGTGGGTCAATTTATTGCAAAACGATGATTTGAGCACAAACGAGGCAGATTTCTAACATAATTCAGATTATGCTTCTAAACCAAGGTTCTATCATTTACGCCACAAAATACATTCACCTGAATGCTGACTGACCCGCCACTAACAAGTCAATTTAAATTAAAATTCCCAGTTAACGATAAGAATACCAGAGTTGGTGCCAAGGCTCGGCATTGCCTACATGCAACATTTAATGAAACAAATATTTTAGATAGTATTTTAAAACAATCGATAACAATAATTTATGTCTAGCTAAAGGCTTTTAGAAATGAAGTCACCAATCTGATTAAAGCCTAGCTTTGGTTTGCCGGCTGGCTGACAGCCGGCTGCCCAGAGCAACAGCAAGGCTAGTTAGCATGCTAACGTTAGCATTAGCACGCGGCTAACATTCAAGCAATGTTGGATGCAAAAAACCCGAGGCACAGCTAAAGAGGCTTACATAACACTTGGATAAAGTTGGAACTAAAATCTAACTTTTAACACATACACCAAGTGGGAAACATGTGAACCTGAAATATGAGGTTATAATCTTTAAAACCACCGCTGTGTTAATAGTTGTCTCGGTTTAAAGACGGATAGGATAGTGAAAGCACCTACGGGTGCTAATCTTAACATGGCCTAGCACACAGTGACATCCCCGAACTCACCTCCTCCTCGGTCTCGCTCCTGAAGCACAGACAAGCGGCCCGCTTCTTATAGCCATCCCCGTCGTACGTCCGGGTTTGGTTGGACTTGAGCTTCATCATTTTGGGAGCACGAAAGTTCAAAAGTACAGCTAACTTTACCACTCAATAAGAAGATAGTTATAGACGCAAAGCGCTCCTCCGGGGAACCTCGGCGTTTTTCTTAAAAGAAATAACTTCTTCTTCGCTTCATTTTCACTAACCTAGGCACATCTACCGTACGGTCGCCATTACGAGGAGCCGTTACGCCCACGACGTAATGTAACCTTAAATAGCTCGATCAGCGTAAGGATGTTGCCTAACTGAAGTTGAAGAATTGGAGCAACCTCTACTGAGTGGGAAATGCAACACCACGCTGAGACTGGAGTGAGCCGGTGAGAGAAAATAGCGGTTTTGGCTCCAACTAGCTTGATAAGGCCACATGATTGACATAGTTCCTTTTTTTTATAGTAAAAAAAAAAAAAAAAAAAAAAAAAAAATCCAAGCTAACGTTATTCTAGTTAAATACTGTAAAAACAAACAAACAAAAATAAACTAAGGTTTATTTCAACAGTTTCACCAGTTAGCATAATTTTCTAAATTGAATTGTGTTAATTGAATTACAGAACATGTTTTATAAATCCCATAGCAACAGCATAAAAGTTTATTTATACAGTATCAATTCACAATAAACACAATACATAAATAAAAGTTAAACAGGTAATTTCATATAAAGTATACTGTATACTAATTTATTTTGTGCATTTATTTAGTAAAACTGACAATTGTATTAAAAACTAATTCAATCCAGTAGAGCCATATTTGTTATATTAGATTCCAGCATTATTAAGTGTCAGTATGTACAAAGTTTTATTTATTTATTTATTTATTTATTTATATACATTTGACCTCCTTTCATGCTGTCTCAGATTATAGTCTTTTTAAACAAACATGATTGGATTTGTTTTATTCTGTTCTATATTACAGATGCTTTCAATATGGATACTTTTCAAATTCAACTGTGAGAAAACAACAAGAAAGAACACAAACACATTCAAGTGCATTAAAAATAAGTTTCACAAACTCTACCTGACAGCAAACATAATTATTTTATTTAACATTGCATGTGACTAAATCTGTGAACATTAAATAAATTATTCAGTAAAATGCACAATGCTACATCAGTTCTCGCCTAAAGTTTGGCTTCTAACCTTGTAGATAACGTGATTTAAACTTTTTTTCTGAACCAAATAATTATTTTAAAGATTTTTTTTTTAAATTTAACATAATTTTAGGAAAAGTATTTTTTTCCTCCTTTATAAATCTGTCATCTTTAGATTGACAAAAAAAAAAAATAGCATTTTTAAATTAAATTACTCAGAAATATGTATAAACATCAATGTACAGCTCAGATAATGGATGTATACATTTAGAAAGATTAGCAGCAAATTATAATGTGCTTATTTTGCACCCAGAATAAAACTGCCGCTGCAATAAAACATTTCTGAATGGTTGACATTTTTTCAGCTGAAAAAGAAAAAGGTTTAACTTCAGGGGAAGATGCCCTTCCTGACTTAACCTGCGCTCGAACTTGCAGCCCCAGGATTACAGGGCCACACTGATCACTGAACTACAGCAGCCCCCCCCCCCTAAAAAAAAAAAAAAAATTACTCCATCCATCCATCCATCCATTTTCTTCCGCTTATCCGGGGTCGGGTTGCAGGGGTAGCAGCCTAAGTTGGGAGGCCCAGACTTCCCTCTCCCCAGCCACTTGGGCCAGCTCTTCCGGGGGAATCCCGAGGCGTTCCCAGGCCAGCCAAGAAACATAGTCCCTCCAGCGTGTCCTGGGTCTTCCTCTGGGCCTCCTTCCGGTGGGACGTGTCTGGAACACCTCACCAGGGAGGCGTCCAGAAGGCATCCTAAACAGATGCCCAAGCCACCTCAACTGGCTCCTCTCGACGTGGAGAAGCAGCGGCTCTACTCTGAGTCCCTCCCGGATGATCGAGCTTCTCACCCTATCTCTAAGGGAGAGCCCAGACACCCTGCGGAGAAAACTCATTTCGGCCGCTTGTATCCGAGATCTCATTCTTTCGGTCACAATCCAAAGCTCGTGACCATAGATGAGGGTAGGAACGTAGATCGATCGGTAAATTGAGAGCTTCGCCTTTTGACTCAGCTCTCTCTTCACCACGACAGACCTGTAAAGCGTCTGCTTCACTGCTGACGCTGCACCTATCCGCCTATCGATCTCACGCTCCATTTTTTCCTCATTCGTGAACAAGACCCCAAGATACTTAAACTCCTCCACTTGGGGTAGGACCTCCTCCCTGACCCGGAGAGGGCACTCTACCCTTTTCCGGCTCAGGACCATGGCCTCGGATTTGGAGGAACTGCTTTTCATCCCGGCCACGTCACATTCAGTTGCGAACCGCTCCAGTGAAAGCTGTAGATCATGATCTGATGAAGCCAACAAGACCACATCATCTGCAAAAAGCAGAGACGCAATCCTAAGGCCACCAAAACAGATCCCCTCAACACCATGGCTGCGCCTAGAAATTCTGTCCATAAAAGTTATGAACAGAATCGGTGACAAAGGGCAACCTTGGCGGAGTCCAACTCTCACCGGGAACAAGCCCGACTTACTGCCGGCAATGCGGACCAGGCTTTGACACAGGTCATACAGGGACCTAACAGCCCGTATCAAAGAGCCCAGTACACCATACTCCCAGAGTACCCCCCACAGGGTTACCCGAGGGACGCGGTCGAACGCCTTCTCCAAGTCCACAAAGCACATGTAGACTGGTTGGGCAAACTCCCACGCACCCTCCAGGACACTGCTGAGAGCATAGAGCTGGTCCAGTGTTCCACGGCCAGGACAAAAACCGCACTGCTCCTCCTGAATCTGAGGTTTGACTATCCGACGAACCCTCCTCTCCAGAACCCCCGAGTAGACCTTACCAGGGAGGCTTAAGAGCGTGATTCCCCTGTAGTTGGAACACACTCTACGGTCCCCCTTTTTGAATAGGGGGACCATCACCCCAGTCTGACAATCCAGGGGAACTTCCCCCGATTTCCACGCAATATTGCAGAGTCGCGTAAGCCAACACAACCCTACAACATCCAGAGCCTTAAGGAACTCCGGGCGAATCTCATCCACCCCTGGGGCCCTGCCACCGAGGAGCTTTTTAACTACCTCGGTGACCTCGGCACCAGAGATTGGAGGGCCCGACCCAGAGTCCCCAGGCTCTGCTTCCTCTGTGGAAGACATGCCGGTGGGATTGAGGAGGTCTTCAAAGTATTCTGCCCACTGACCCACAACATCCCGAGTTGAGGTCAGCAGCACACCACTCCCACTATAAACAGTGTTGGTGGCGTACCGCTTTCCCCCCCGAGACGCCGGATGGTGGACCAGAATCACCTCAAAGCCGTGCAGAAGTCATTCTCCATGGCCTCTCCGAACTACTCCCATGCCCGAGTTTTTGCCTCAGCGACCACCCGAGCCGCATGTCGCTTGGACTGCCGGTACCCGTCAGCTGCTTCCGGGGTCCCACAGGCCAAAAAGGCCCGATAGGACTCCTTCTTCAACCTGACAGCATCCCTCACCGACGGTGTCCACCATCGGGTTCGAGGGTTGCCGCCACAACAGGCACCAACAACCTTGCGGCCGCAGCTCTGGTAAGCTGCCTTGACAATAGAGGCACGGAACATGGTCCACTCGGACTCAATGTCCCCCACCTCCCTCGGAACATGTTCAAAGTTCTCCCGGAGGTGGGAGTTAAAACTCCGTCTCACAGGAGACTCTGCCAGACATTCCCAGCAAACCCTCACAATACGTTTGGGTCTGCCAGGTCTGACCGGCATCCTCCCCCACCATCGGAGCCAACTCACCACCAGGTAGTGATCAGTGGACAGCTCCGCCCCTCTCTTCACCCGAGTGTCCAAGACATGTGGCTGCAGATCAGATGAGACGATGACAAAGTCGATCATCGAACTGTGGCCTAGGGTGTCCTGGTGCCAAGAGCACATATGGACACCCTTATGCCTGAACAAGGTGTCCGTTATTGACAATCCTTGATGAGCACAGAAGTCCAACAACAGAACACCACTCTGGTTCAGATCAGTGGGGCTGTTCCTCCCAACCACACCCCTCCAGGTCTCACTGTCATTGCCCACATGAGCATTGAAGTCCCCCAGCAGAACAAGGGAGTCCCCAGGAGGTGCACTTTCCAGTACCCCCTCCAAGGACTCCAGAAAGGGTGGATAATCCAAACTTCCGTTTGGTGCATAAGCACAAATAACAGTCAGAACCCGTCCCCCCACACGTAGGCAGAGGGAGGCCACCCTCTCATTCACCGGGGTGAACCCCAACACACAGGCACCAAGTTGGGGGGCAATAAGTATGCCCACTCCTGCTCTGCGCCTCTCACCAGGGGCAACTCCAGAGTGGAAGAGTATCTAGCCCCTCTCAAGGAAACTGGTTCCAGAGCCAGAGCAATGCATAGAGGTGAGTCTGACTATTTCTAGCCGAAACCTCTCAGCCTCACACACCAGCTCAGGCTCCTTCCCCACCAGTGAGGTGACATTCCACGTCCCAATAGCCAGCTTCCGTAGCCAAGGATCAGACTGCCAGGGTCCCCGCCCTCGGCCACCACCCATCCCACATTGCACCCGACCCCTTTAGCCCCTCCCACAGGTGGTGAGCCCATGGGAAGGGGGACCCACGTCTCCTCTTCGGGCTGTGCCCGGCCGAGCTCCATGGGTAAAAGCCTGGCCACCAGGCGCTCGCCCGCGTGCCCCACCTCCAGGCCTGGCTCCAGAGTGGGGTCCCGGTGACCCAAGTCCGGGCAAGGGAACACTAGGTCAGTTTATTTTTCTCATCATCAGGGTTTTTGGGCTGCACTTTGTCTGGTCCCTCACCTAGGACCTGTCTGCCATTGGTGACCCTACTAGGGGCGTAAAGCCTCTGACAGCATAGCTCCTAGAATCATTGGGACACTCAAACCCCTCCACCATGGTAAGGTGGCAGCCCAGGGAGGGGAAAAAAAATTACTCTTGATAATCTATTTTATTTTAGTTGTGGGCATTTTTTTAAAAAGCATAGACAAAGCAGTACATTAAAAACAAAAGGGGATACCATTAATGTTTAGGTTTTCTAAAAGCCATTGAAATAGCATTGGCACGTTTCAAAATAGTTCACAACGTGACTTGTTAATCTTTTTTAATAATTCAAATCTAAATGCAGATTAAAT